CATCCCATACCTAGGAATTGACATCACAAATAACTTACGCTGGACTACACATATTCAAACTATTGTATCCAAAGCCAATAAGGTGCTCGGATTTCTCAGGCGCAACCTCAATCAATGCCTTGAAAAAGTGAAGGCTCAGGCGTATAAGTCACTAGTCCGGCCTAATTTAGAGTATGCCAGCTCGGCATGGGATCCATACCGACAAAAAGATATTGATATGTTGGAACAGGTACAGAGAAGAGCAGCCAGGTTTGTAACCAAATGTCACTCAAGGGAACCAGGCTGCGTCACCAAAGCTCTTCAAGACCAACAGTGGGAGCCACTGAAGGAGCGTCGAGAGGCTGCTAGAGTTTTCCTTTTCTACAAAGGAAAGCAGAACCTAGCAGCCATCGACGTGCCTCCATACTTCCGCCAACAGATCAATACCAACACTAGGTTGTATCATCCTTCTAAGTACATACAACCATCAACTAGAACGGATGCATACAAATTTAGCTATTTCCCTAGGACAATAGCTAAATGGAACACTCTACCTGGTGACATCTTAGACTGTGACAGTCTAAGTAGTTTTAAATCATCATACTATGCCTATGTCAATAACTGCAATTAAATAGGTGTGTTTTTAATTTAGATCTATGTTTTAATGTAAAGGGTCCCCAGTGCACAGCAACAAGCCTGCACTACTGGTAAAGAGGGGTGATGTCAACGCGGTAGCCTGACAGTCTCCCCAGGTAAAATGAGTTGTAAACCATAGATCTATTTTTAAATGTTAAGGTTTTAAATTATATTCTATTCAAATTCTATCACTGTTAAATTATATATCTGCTTTATATGGGCTTATTAGCCTTTTGCAGATTATTGACATAGACATAGACATAGAAATTATTGATACATTTGGCTCAACATGACACATGTACTTATCTGTTATCTCCATAAAACAATTGTGTCAATCTCTAGATTATCACAACTGATGTAATTAGGTTTGTCGAAGGGAAGAATTAGTGTCATGATAATTAGTAACAATCAGATTAGTATTAGTTTTAAAATATATCAGGGTAATTAACAGTGGGTGGGATGCTTCATCGTGTAAACAATTGGCTTATCTTAATCTCAATCATATTAATCCAAGCTTTTTAGAATCAGATATAGGCTTAAGACTTTCACACCTCTGAAAAATAATGGAATATACAGTGTCACCAATATTCCATATTTCTTGTTCACAGGTGAATTTTCATAATTTGCCCCAAAATAGTGTTCCTTGTTCCCTGTTCACAGGTTTTCCCTACAGAGAGGGTCCGTTAACATGTAAGTCAATGGAAAAATATTTGGTTCTTTTGAAAAGCATTCCTTGTTCATAGGTTTTCCCTACAGAGAGGTATTCCATCGGACAGGTTTTACTGTAATTATAAAAAAAGCAAAAGTGATCAGCGGGTCAGCAAATTTTGACTGATGTTAATTTGAAAATATCCTGCTAAAACATATTCATCTTCCCTAGATGGTTGGTTCAAACTTATGGTACAAGAGGCAGAACAGTACTCTTAGAGTCATTTATTCAGAAGTATTCTTCATTGCTGGAAGGATCATTTCATTTATAATGATTTCCATAGGCCTGGACGCCCATGCATTGTTGTCAAACCTAGTCCATAAAGTTTCTTTCCAGTCCTCCCTTTGGTATCCCTTGAAAATATGCTCAAGCTGTTGAGATCAGTCCCTCGTTGGAACCTAACTTATGATGATCTCTCATATGATGCTTCAACAGTCAAATTTAGTGAATCTAATGGTGGTTCATTTGGTGAACATTATATGGTGAATATGGGGCATGAACAACTTGTTTGAACCCTAATTCTTTAAGACTAGTATGGGCACTTTGGGAATGGAAAGAGGCATAGTCATAATGGAAGATAACTCCCCGCTATTTTGAGTCATGATTGTGACTTTGAGAGTCTGACCAATGATAAGAAAATTGAGCAAAGTGGACTCTGTATATCACAATAAAGATGTTACTTTAGAAACTAAAGTTAGAAATATTTGAAAATATAAAAAATCACAGAAATTTGTCTACTAAATAGGTATTAATTAACCATACTTTTGGATCAAGTAAAATAAAAATGAATTCAAGTTTTGCTTGACCCGCTACGCCATTTGTCATGTTGCTATAGTAACAATAATTATCCATTGTGACATCATATGACAATGAAACTGTTTAATCCAACCCAAAACTATATTCTCCATTTACCTTGAAAATTTCAAGTAGATTGGTTGAAAAATAATGAAATGACAGATAAATTCCCAGATAAATTCCCAGAACTTAGTGATCACCCTGTACAATAAAACTATCATATCCCATTATATCGCCATTCAAATAGATTCTCTGTTTCATTTTATAACATGTATACATACAATAAAACTATCATAATGAAGTCTATCTCCATTCAAATAGATCCCCTCTTTCATTTTATAACTTGTATACATACAATAAAACTATCATATCCCATTCCATCCCCATTCAAATAGATTCTCTGTTTCATTTTATAACATGTATACATACAATAAAACTATCATATCCAATTCCATCTCCATTCAAATAGATCCTCTCTTTCATTTTATGACATGTTTACATACAATAAAACTATCATATCCAATTCCATCTCCATTCAAATAGATTCTCTCTTTCATTTTATAACATGTATACATACAATAAAACTATCATATCCAATTCCATCTCCATTCAAATAGATCCTCTCTTTCATTTTATGACATGTTTACATACAATAAAACTATCATATCCAATTCCATCTCCATTCAAATAGATCCTCTCTTTCATTTTATGACATGTTTACATACAATAAAACTATCATATCCAATTCCATCTCCATTCAAATAGATCCTCTCTTTCATTTTATGACATGTTTACATACAATAAAACTATCATATCCAATTCCATCTCCATTCAAATAGATTCTCTGTTTCATTTTATAACATGTATACATACAATAAAACTATCATATCCAATTCCATCTCCATTCAAATAGATCCTCTCTTTCATTTTATGACATGTTTACATACAATAAAACTATCATATCCAATTCCATCTCCATTCAAATAGATTCTCTCTTTCATTTTATAACATGTATACATACAATAAAACTATCATATCCAAGTCCATCTCCATTCAAATAGATTCTCTCTTTCATTTTATAACTTGTGTAGATATAATAAAACTATCATATCACATTCCATCTCAATTCAAATAGATTCTGTATTTCAAATGATAACATGTATACATACAATAAAACTATCATATCCCATTCCATCTACATTCAAATAAATCCTCTCTTTCATTTTATAACATCTATACATACAATAAAACTATCATATCCCATTCCATCTCCATTCAAATAGATCCTCTGTTTCACTTTATAACATGTATACATACAATAAAACTATCATATACAATTCCATCTCCATTCAAATAGATTCTCTGTTTCATTTTATAACATGTATACATACAATAAAACTATGATATCCCATTCCATCTCCATTCAAATAGATTCTCTGTTTCATTTTATAACATCTATACATACAATAAAACTATCATATCCCATTCCATCTCCATTCAAATAGATCCTCTGTTTGATTTTATAACATGTATACATACAATAAAACTATCATATCCAATTCCATCTCCATTCAAATAGATCCTCTGTTTCATTTTATAACATGTATACATACAATAAAACTATCATATCCCATTCCAACTCCATTCAAAAAGATCCTGTTTCATTTTTTAACATGTATACATACAATAAAACTATCATATCCCATTCCAACTCCATTCAAAAAGATCCTGTTTCATTTTATAACATGTATACATACAATAAAACTATCATATCCCATTCCAACTCCATTCAAATAGATCCTCTGTTTCATTTTTTAACATGTATACATACAATAAAACTATCATATCCCATTCCAACTCCATTCAAAAAGATCCTGTGTCATTTTATAACATGTATACATACAATAAAACTATCATATCCCATTCCAACTCCATTCAAATAGATCCTCTGTTTCATTTCTTAACATGTATACATACAATAAAACTATCATATCCCATTCCAACTCCATTCAAAAAGATCCTGTTTCATTTTATAACATGTATACATAGAATAAAATTATCATATCCAATTCCATCTCCATTCAAATAGATTCTCTCTTCCATTTTATAACTTGTGTACATACAATAAAACTATCATATCCAATTCCATGTCCATTCAAATAGATCCTCTATTTCATTTTATAACATGTATACATACAATAAAACTATCATATCCAATTCCATCTCCATTCAAATAGATTCTCTCTTCCATTTTATAACTTGTGTACATACAATAAAACTATCATATCCAATTCCATGTCCATTCAAATAGATCCTCTGTTTCATTTTATAACATGTATACATACAATAAAACTATCATATCCCATTCCATCTCCATTCAAATAGATTTTCTGTTTCAGTTTGTCATATACCAACTGTAGATTCTGTGTTTCATTTGATAACATGTATGCATATACATTCAGTACATGTAAATTGAAAGCTATGAATTCCTATTCCATCTCCATTGAGATAAATTCTGTGTTTTGCTGAATTGCTTGAGTTTGAATGTTGATATCATTCACAAGTTATTATTAAATTCATAGATTCTGTGTTTCATTTGATCAACATGTATGCATGTACATTCAGTACATGTATTTTGAAAAATATGATTTCCTATTCCGTCTCCATTTAGGTAAATTCTGTGTTTTGCTGAATTGTTTGAGTTTGAATGTTAATATCATTCACAAGTTATTATTAAATTCATAGATTCTGTGTTTCATTTGATAACATGTACATGTACATTCAGTACATATATATTGAAAACTATGATTTCCATTTCCGTCTCCATTGAAGTAAACTCTGTGTCACACTGGATAGACCCAATGCATTCTTGAAGTCAGTTATGATTGAATTCATTGCATGAACTGACTTAATGGTCTGTTATCTTAATTTGGCTCCATATTTACCTGCCACCACTTAGATTGCATTGGCTTTAGCCAGTGTGTGCTACTTGATGACTTATTTACAAATGATTAGAAAAATGATACTGCATTTAGGACATGATGTATGAAGATCTCTCCTTGGAAACCTGAAATAAAAATAAATCATTTTAAGAGGAGTCTTGTCAAACAAATTTTTAGCATGCACGTTAGGGGTTTCGCAATTGCTCGGATTTGCTAGAGCACTTGAGCAATTAGGCACGATACGAGCATATCGATACTCACTTAGAATATTGGTTAAAATCCTGTATCATTTTTAGCCTCCAAAAACAGCAAAATCATGTTCAAAAGCACCTTAAATATCTTATTAAGAATATAGAATATACTCGGGTGTATGATATTTTGGAGAAAAAACTATGAAAATAGAATTCTCGAAAGAACGAGGGTAATGGACCATTTTGCCACCTAATTATCACCAAGGACAGTGGTGTTTTAAAGAAAAATGAATCAAGTACCAAGTGTGAACTCTTAGGTGCAACTCTAATGCAATGGCCAAACAACAAACATATATATATTTTACTTGGAGATGTTTAATGACAAAGACCAGACAATATAAGCAAGCTTATATTTCTGAAAATGAATATGAAGTAATCCATGTATTAGCTTAGTCTACATCGTCAGTACTTAGACTTGCCTTCTGAGTGATGATCAGATGAACCATGGACTATATATTGGTGGACTAGACACTTGTCACTAGGGGGCATTAGCTTTAGGACATTCATACTGTTTGGCTGTTGGCATTTTTTGGCATGTTATGTCTTGTTTACCCAAATGTTCTTATAAAATAAATTTATATGTTACGCATAAAGATTGCTCGTATCGTTTGTATCGTGATTCGTATCTTGAGGTAAATATCGTTGCTCATATCGAAATTGAAGATGATGTATTGTGGGACCCCTCATGCACATGAAGCAAACATATGCATAAACATTAATTTCTGATTCTAGTTTGACTACCTGAATCCACTGGCGGGGCAGAAAAAAGGGCCTTTAAAAATTTTTGGCCTAAAGGCTGCAAAAAGTAGGCCCTTTTGGTCATTACTGGGCCTTGTAAGGCCTTATTTTTTAATTTCAGGCCAAATTTTGAAGAAAATGGGCCTAAAAATTTCAAAATTTGTGGCCACTCTTGGGTTTTAGGGGCCCAAAAATATTTTTTATGTGACCTGAAATTGGGGCCCCTCCCCTTGTTAATTCCCAGATCTGCCCCTGGAATCATTGATGGTATTAGATGTTTAATACTTATGAATCAGCATTTATTTTGCCCTGACTTCCTGGGAGTACTAGCTTTACTACTCTCAGACTATTACATTTTTTATTTTCCATGTAGCGCTAATGCTGATTACATTTAATGTTATCTTAACAATCTCATGTCAATTAGGCGTCTTCAGGATAAAGTTCATTAATATTGCCAAATATAATTGCCCAAACTTTCTGAATACAGATTCTTATTGAAAATAGGCCAATTCAAAGAAAGTTCTTTCTATAAACTGTTGATGAATTCAAGGTTTTGTAAAGGGAACGAATATTTATTTACCTAAGTGTCAGGTCTTTGCGCTAGCAATGCTCCCAATGTTATTACACCTATTGCTCCAACTCCAAATGAGAGTATGCTCTTAATGTCTGGAACTGTATGCCGACCATCTGTATCATCAATCCCATAATGCTGTAACAGTCCATCCCAACCTTCATTTTTATTCATCCACTCTGCTAAATTTTTGTTTATGTACTTCGATGTCCATTCACGGATTTCGTCTACAAGTTTTGGTAGACCTAGTTCAACACACTTTACAGCAAATGATCCTGAAAATGCAACCAATGCTACAACCCTTCCCCATTTAACTCCATCTTGGAAAAGCTCGTCCGCGATCGCTGTGAATGTGCTATGGCTTGTCGATGGAGTAACATGAAGTTGGTTTGTCATCTCTTCGAAAACTTCCCCGTATCTTTCCTGAAATTTATCGCCCAATTTTCGCATCATTTGAGTGGCCTGTGTTGGATTGGTGACTTTGTTATTGTCAAATTCAAAACCACGTTTTCGAAGTTGGTAGCCCACATAATCTGCAACCAAACTATGTGTATCGCTTTCCCAGGGTCCTTTCACTGTAGTGATACTAGGGACTATTTTCTTCAGGACTGGTTCATTCTTTTTATTGATGCTTTTTTCAATAACGTTTTTCTTTGTTCCTTTCAAAAGTGCCTTCAGAATTCGTTGACAGCATTCTTCTGCACGATCAACATCCCATCTGATTGGTCGAATCATCTTGAGCTCTGTCGGGAGATCTTTGTGATCAATACCATACAAAATTGGAATCACATGGTCTGCTTTGCCTGCTTGGATTTTGGAAAATTGTACAATTTGTCGACAATAAGAATTCCAGTTTTTGTTGGCGAGGAAAGCTTTCGACAGCAAGATGAGACTGTATTTACATTTTTCTGCAATCGTATCTACACTTTTGAATATATCTTGTCCAGGAATAGCATCCCTTGTGGCAGTAAATCCCTCAAGTCTGCCTTCATTTTCCAAATATCCCACAATACCTTTTGCGATATTTTCATCTTGAGTTGAATTTTCATCATTAAGTATTCCAAAATCATAATCATATTCATGTGCAGACATTGTTTCTGGTCGATGGAGACTGTGTTTTGTCAGGCCTAAAACATAATTATATTATCATTTTTTAATATAATAATAGTGTGATGTTCCTGCTATATGTACAGTATTGACATACAATAGTTGGACATAAACAGCAAGGGTGAGTTGAGTAAATTCGTTCGGAAATACATGTATACATGTCTGGATAAATATTTTGAGATGAGTTTTGCTTAAATCATTTACATTTCCATTGTGGAGAAAACTTGCAGTACAATGACAAGCTTACATTTTATTCTGACTATATTATGCATACAAATATTTTTATCAGTTTCCTAATTTTCATCACTTCAGTGTAGACAGCCTCTTTAAAAGCATGCAATAATTCAAAAATCATCCCATCATTATATAACCACTCTACTATACCTTGGTGTTCATAAGCAACCCATTTGGCTTATTAGTAATAATTATGTTATTTGTTTTTATTTGTCTGTTCCTTATTAATGGTTTATTGGTTAAAAGTTAGATGTTAATAAGGTACTTTCAAAGATATACTAAACAATACAATTGGACAAACAGAGTATCTTATGCATTTCTAGGGGTTAGGTGTAGTAGAGTGATAACATACCTGGAAATTTTCTTCATTCATGTATTCACAAAAATATGTACACTACTGTATCTCACCTTTGGCCCTTTATTCTTAAATATCAGTCAGTTGTAACCTTCCTACATTTTGTTTAGATCTTGGAGATAAAGGGAATAATTTTGTTTTAACACATTAGCTGTTGAACTGCCTACAAATGAAGATAATTGTCAGTTTTCCTACAATGTTTAGAAAATGGTTGCCATTTATAACCCTGACCTTGATGGAGGAAGTGAATTAGTTCTGCTATGTGATTGGCCGTAAATATTGCATTAAAGGTTTCAGTGTAGTTGTAGATTTGAATGGATTTTCTTTTATATACTAGTTCAGCTTATTTTTAGCTATACAATGTACTTAAATGCTGCATATTTTGTGTGCACTTGGCCATTTCATTGTATAAACATAAAATTGAATAAACTGTAAAATCCCTACCTTTATGCATTCAGACTTTATAATACTTTTTAGCCTTTGCTTTCAGTAATGATGATTTGTCTTCAATTGGCTGGTATACCCCCCCCCCCCCTCTTGATATAGCCCTTACAATAATTTTAAATGATCTAGATGAATGCATGGATGGTGTTTATAAACTTTATATGTAATTACCCTGAAGCTGTCTAATTTTGAAAAAGGACATAAGAATATGAAAATATATGTACACTATATCCTGTGTCATTCTATTAACTTGCACTAAATCAACAATTGGTGATTTTTTATATTACCAGGTGTGAAGTTCATAACAGTATACATTGTTTAAATGACAATACACCATTTTCATTATTTCACTATATTTACAATAACAGTTTATATTGATAAATATTGGTAATTAAATGATTAGAGAAATAAATGGAAAGATAAAGGATGAATTTGACATAGGGATGCCTTTAATAAAGGCTTATTTAATGATAAGACATGATGAGTTAAGAAGACATTACATACATTGAAACAACATATAACACTATCCAATAAATCTCAAATATTATTACTCCATGGGCGTAGCCAGCTGTCAGTCAGTGGGGTTGTGGCATAAACCATGGGCTAGTTGAAAGCCCATGCATAAACAAGCCAAAAAATTAAGATTTATCTTAAATTTTACAAAAAAATTACAAAAATTGATGCAACTTCCTTCAAAATTGGGCTAGAAGCTTCACATAAAAAGCATTTTAAAGCTGATCACCCCCCCCCCTCCTCCCCCCTGGCTACGCCTATGTACTCTTTGTCACTTGATTAAATAGCTAATTACTACTTTTAAGTGATAACCTAAATAAATACAATAATATTGAGTAATAATATTGATATTGGAAAATTACACAAATGAGAGCTGAGTTTATGAAATGAGCTTATTTAGATGAAACATACACAAAACAAGTATCATTATATTAATGAGGCAAATTGTTGAAAACGGAATATGGAATAATCGTTAAATCATGGAAAGTGTTTGAATTATCACATTCCAAACTAGAATGCAGTGTTGTGATTGGTTAAATCATGTCACATGACAAGTTGATAATTTGATATATCACACATCTTGGTTCAGATATTCCTTTATGTATTTATTTCAGCCCAATCTCTTACATGTTCATTTTACTATTGTGTTAATGTACTATTTCATTATAAAGTTTATGTTTGATATTTGTTATTCAAATTTATTTAAGGCTGTCCCAGATGTTGTCCTTTGCAACGACCATGTTATCTGAGGAGTCGCATTCTATGGGTCTCCCTGATTTCCCCATTGACAACTTGAGGGCAGTTATGGCTATTTTGGTGAGTTCTTATTTACAATCAAATACTAAAACATTGTAACAGCTGAATATATGTTTTGTTTTTATTTCACCAACAGAATCAGTGACATATTGTTATAGTCTCCACTATTTTGTGGATGATGTTTGGCATTCAGCATCTGACATTTGGAGTTTCCATCTGTAACAAATGACAGGTGACATTTTGTATGAAAATGCTCTTTGTATCACTTACCGTAAAAATAGATAATCAAAAGTATTTATATTTTCCAGGATGCAATGCCAACCACATCCTGTCAGAACTTATTATCGCGGCTCTACCCACATGACGTGATGTTAGGAAAGGAGGGAAAAACTGCCGTCCATGATATGATCAAGGTACGTTGGATAATACTAGGCATTTAATATGATCAATTTTTTATTAGATATTATCGACCATTTCCTCACATTGGCATTGCTCAGTAGCCCATATATTATTTTCATGAACAGTGTTTTTAAAAATATTGCTTACTATTTTGTAGTATATATTACATTTAAGTTTTAAAGATGTCACCCTCAGCAAGTCAACTATACCTGTCACGTATAGCAGGCCGATACCCTACAGGATCCTGATTAAGACCTACCGCTGTAACCCTAAAATAACTGTGCCCCTGGAGTGATTTGATGAAATATGCAATGTTCATTAATAGCTACCTCATTAATGCCTTGGTCACATTTGCTCTGATTTTCACTATGGCGCCTGGTTGATTGAGTATTTTGTTCAAAATTGAATACAATATTGAACAAAACACTCAATCGGCCAGGTGCCGGCCGATGGATCAGAGCAAATGTGACCCAGACATAAGTTGTGGTTTTCCATATTCAATTTTAATGACCAAATATGAATTGGTGCATGTAACAAAAATTGCGTATTTTTCAGAAATTTGAATTAGATGACCCAACAAGGCACCAGTACAACTCCAGTGTTAATGAAGTCAGAGCATCTGGTAGTGTTTGTGACATCAGTGCAAATGTTAATGGTGGCAACTATCATTTTGAGGTATGACATTCTACAAAAATATCCATTATTAAGAGATAATGAAATATTTCAATTCATGAATGCTTACATATATAAACCTCCGGTATATCAGTTTAATGGAAAATGAATCCTGCAGAATTGCAATAATTATTTGAAAACACTCTATTTAGAAACACACCTGAAACCATTCTCTTTCAAAACATGTACATTTGAAAACATTCAATTTCAAAAATCATATATTTCAAAATATTCCTTCCAAAAAATGTTAAAAATCTGAAATGATCGTGTTTTCCATCAAATGTTAATTTTTCCATGAAATAATCATGTTTTCCAGGTTCCGGGTGGAGGTCTCCATATCTCTAGTCAGTCTTCAGGATTTGTGAGGACAAAACATCACGACCAACTACTTGCAGATATTATGCAGTCCCATATGGTCTCCGACTTCTGTATTGTAGGAACAAGGGTAACAATATTTAGATTTATCCCATGACTATTGAGGTTTTGGATATAGGGTTTATACCATGTGAAATATGAAAAATATCTATTTCTGTCATGATTTACCCCATTTCCGAAGTCTACCATAGTATAACCCTATTTCTATTTTTTATTTATTTTATTGATTTAGTTAAGCAATAGCTGAATCACACATGGTACCTGATCTCTGTTAAGCACACGTAGCCTTAGCTCTTAGAGTAAAAAACTCATTACAATGTAATGTAAGCACGGTAAAAAACATATTTCTGAATATATTTCAGAACTTATGAAATGTATATTTTAATTTACATTTTTATGTGGAATTATTGAAAGACTACTATTTCCAGTCAAGTGACCATAAATTGACCAATCATATTATAGCTATTTCTATGTATATTGTAGGGTTGTGGGAAGACTGTGCTTCCTTACTGAACCAGTCATGTGACCATAAATTGACCAATCATATTATAGCTATTTCTGTGTATATTGTAGGGTTATGGGAAGACTTTGCTTCCTTACTGAACCAGTCATGTGACCATAAATTGACCAATCATATTATAGCTATTTCTGTGTATATTGTAGGGTTATGGGAAGACTTTGCTTCCCTACTGAACCAGTCATGTGACCATGTATTGACCAATTATTCTATGTGCAAATACATGTTTATTGTAGGGTTGTGGGAAGACTGTGCTTCCATACTGAACCAGTCATGTGACCATGAATTGACCAATCATATTATAGCTATTTCTGTGTATATTGTCGGGTTATGGGAAGACTGCTTCCCTACTGAACCAGTCATGTGACCATGTATTGACCAATCATTCTATCTGCAAATACATGTTTGTTGTAGGGTTGTGGGAAGACTTTGCTTCCATACTAAACCAGTCATGTGATCATAAATTGACCAATCATATTATAGCCATTTCCTTGTATATTTCAGGGTTGTGGGAAGACTGTGCTTATAAAGCAGTTTGCTGATATGTTAGGCTATCATATAGAACCAATAATGTTATATCAGGTACGTTGTATTGTCTTTTATGTACAGTGAAACATGTGTATCATATTATCTGAACACCTTTTTAATCCAAACACCTCTCAATATGAACACTTCTTTTTGGTTCCAATTTTGATATCTCCAAAAGATTCTCACGTATTAAGAAAACCTTGAATTGTGAACACCTGCTATATCTGAACACTTTTCTATGCTTTCCCCACATTGAAATCTCTGAGGCACCGCATCTCCATGCCATGTATTTTATAAAACCGAAGTGCTCCTAATGCAATTGGATATGCCTCCTAAAATGATACAATAAAAATGAGAAAATTCAAAAATGATGCACAAAAATTCACAATCATAAAATGTTGCACAAAAAGTTACAAAAAACTAAAATGTTGCACTAGAAAAATAACAAAATCCTACGCACAGAAAAATCCTGAGGAGAACCCTGCTTTTGATTGGTCCCATTGGCGTTCAGATTACACAGATTTTACTGTACTCAACAAATATGCAATTCATGTCTATCAATGAGGCCCCTACAGATAATTTTCAGTTTAACAGGATAAATTTTTGAAACACTGACCAGGTGACAAGAGCAGGAAATAACCCAGAATTCAAGGATAATGAAAATTTGAAAATAGGATCTTCTTTGAATTCTGGGTTATTTCTCCTCTGCTGTCAGGTGACCTGCCTTTTGGTCTTTATGTAATAGCTCTGAAGTTAAATTGCAAATGACAAAATGAAATACTAAACATCTTAAAATGGCAATAAAAAATCTGGCTGGGACTTTTAAACTGATGTTCAATAATATATATAATAAGGGGCATTTCCAGTGTATATCTTAAGTGTATACACATGTGCATGACATACTTGAATTGTGTTTAAAATGTTATATTCATAACTAAATTATTTGTTTTGATGTGATAAAAATTACTTAATAAGTATATGTACACTTACTTCCTCATGCAGGATATGACATCAAGAGATCTATTACAACAAAGAACAACTCTACCCAATGGAGATACAACATGGCGGCCATCACCCTTGGTTACTGCTGCCCTTGAAGGGAGTCTCGCAGTTCTGGATGGCGTACACAGAGTCAACCCTGGCACATTTGCAGTATTACATAGGTATGTCAATACGTTTTATTTATATTCGTTTGAGTGTAACGAATTAGAATATAAATTATTTCTACATATTACTACAGAGTGTAGCTTTAAGCGTTACAAAAATTAAACGCTATTTTCAAATGCGAGTAGATTATGAGTGAGTGAATAGGTGTGTAGTGTTTGGGAGAGATGCACAGTGAACAGAATATATCCTGTATTGCACTTCAAATCATTCAATAACGTTTTTATCTGTGATCCTCTGTATTGCTTCTGAGAATGTCCCCTCCGTACCAATATTTTCTGTATTGCGACAGAGATGATCAATGGGGACAATCTCAGTAGCAATACAGACTGGTACAGCACGAGCACATGAACTGACCAATCAGAAGGCTTCATTTTACGGATCATATGATAAACAGACTTACAGACCTGTCATTGGTCAGTAACATAGGAAAGAAAACAAATGATGCCTCAATACGACTTTATAGTATTGGATCCTACATTTGATGAATGAATGTGATGCAAACTTCAAAATTTTGATTCATATTTGCGATTTTGACCTTTAAAAGATCATTACAGGTTAACTGGATGTTTGATTTCAATTCTGATTTCAGATTCAGAATCCTGAGAAAATTTCCCACAAATTATATTTGCTTTTTGAAATAATCACAATTTTTTCATCACAGTGCATGAATTTTATTATTTTTAAAAAGACAGATCCCACTAAGTTGTGCATGTGTTCTAGCTCTTCAAACAAGCAATCTGATTGGTCTGAAATTTCAAGTTTGGATTTATTTTTAGGCTGATTCACGACAGAGAACTGAGTCTGTTTGATGGCAGTCGACTATTAAGGAGAGATAGATATGATGCTCTTAAGGAATCAACTGGATTCACTGATAAAGAGCTCTATGAAAAGTAAGTTCTTCAGAATGAAAAATTTCCACTGTACTGGAATATGTACTATGATTAGCATTATGTTTAGGGGTATATATAGCCAGCTTTCAGCCAGGGGGTTGCGATCGTGGCAAAAGCAAGGCAAAATTAGTTTTTTTCAAGATTCTTTTGAATTTTACAAAAATTTATGCAACATCCTTCCTTTTCTTCTTTTATTGGTTATGGGGGGGGGGGGTGATCACACCCATCGCACCCCTCCCCCTGGCTACGCCTATGATGTTCCTATATCACAACATGATATATTGTATATTACAATTACACCCCTCATTTGTGTTTGTAGGGGTATTCTACCGATCCACCCCTCATTCAGGATAATAGCACTTGCAGAGCCACCTGTATTAACCAGTAGTACACAACAGTGGATGACCCCCGAGGTCCTTACTATGTTCTTATATCACCATATGAGACCCATGCAGCGGAATGAAGAGAACGAAGTCCTGCATAAAATTGTAAGTTAATTTTTGATGTAAACATTTTAGATGAATAAACACAAGGAGCTCACGTGCTCAAACCCATGACCTCATGTTTATTGTGTAAGCACCTAGCTGAGCTTTTTCAACGCTCTAGACCACTCGGCCAACTCCACAACCCCAAAAAGGTTATTGGCCATTCATGTAGATAACATCAGTGTTCGCGCTAGCCATTAAAATTTCTGAGTCCCAGGGACGCAACCCATTTGAAAAATTTGAGTCCCCATCTAATTTTTTTGCGTCCCTCTTATTTCTTCACAAAGTTCAAGAAAATATTGTGAAAGTGAAAATAAAGTGGGCGATAATAGAGTGCTTACACTAAAATGGGATAAAAATGACATATATTGTAATTTAATGCATCCTCCCGATAAATATCTATCACTGGGTCCTTTTCACACAATTCTTAAGTAATGTTATACCAAAATAGTCCGAAATGAATAAAGGAAATCACGGTGCCCATGTCAAGCTGCGCGCTGGAAGTGTGTATCTGAGACAGTTCGCCTGTATGCCTGCTGGGAAGGGTTTGCTTCAGTTGTACGGTTGTCACGGAAACTTTGTGATGATGTCAGCTTACTAAATATAGTTACCATGAAAAATGCATAGTAAATACATCAAGCTCAAGAAATAGATTGTTTGTCATGCTTTTGAACATTTCCTCTTAAATATTTGATCATTTATCCTAATTAATCATGATTTTTAGAATTTTCCACATGGCGCAGTGTTTTCTAAATGATTCTGAAATTTCTAGGTCTCAGCCGTTGCTTTGACCTAAATCGGTTTATCAAAAACACTTTAGAAAAAATTGAGTCTTAAAAGCATGACCAACATACTAGAACAACAACAAATTAGAAAATCTCAGTGAGAGAGTAGTTAAGGTAGGCCAGTTATGTAGATTTGTACACTCAAGTCTTGTACTTACAACACTAAAATTCATCTTAAAGGCCCCATGTAAAGTTTAAACCACTTTGGCTTATATTGTAGTCTTACCCAATGTTATCAAAGTGTGATATGTGAAACCTTTTTTTTTTTAAATTTCAAAAAGTGGTTTTTGATAGACTTTTTGTTCCAAAATTTGTGAATTTATTTAAAACCAACTTTTAGAGGTCACTCATATCTTCTAATTAGCCACAATTCATACCAATGCATAGCATTTATCCTCCCATGTTTTTTGCCGAAAAAATTAAGAAAATCAGTTGATAAACAAGCGAGAAATGAAGTTACCAGTGCATGAAAATGGTTCTGAGACAAATGTATTTCAAAATTTTAGTTGTCATAGAAACCAATGGTACAATGATATCTAAAACATAATTTATTCTTATTTTTAACCTGGTTAGACAATCAACATTGGTTTTTTATGAAAGTCTAGCATATTTAGAAAAGATTGACATCGAAAAAAAAAAGTTTTTGTTACCTTAGTGACATCACTAATGTTTCAAAATATTTTTGATAAGCTAAAACATTGAAGTGGCCCATTAAATATGACATTTTATTATTGAAATAGTGTGACTTTTGTTCAATCTTTGCATTGGTGTTAAAAAGATAATCTTTTTTGAGAATGCATTAAGAAATATTTGATGATTAAGAAATTTCAATTTTTTTTGAAAAATGGAGGGAAATTTGAATATTTGAGAAATGAAATGCTCACAACTTTTTTTCAAAATTTTTTTTTTGTTCAAAAATCTCTAAAATCACTTTTTAAGTCCTGACAAAAAGTAAATGAATGATAAAAAAATATTTTCAAACTTTAGACGGGGACTTTAATAGACATACCTTAACCTTAAGATTTTACTTAGGTATATAATGTCAGCATACCAACAAAATTCTCACTCCCAGAGATTTATTAAAGATAAATTTAAATATACATGTAAACAGAAACTAAAATAATAAGTACAAAATTAATATCAAATAAAAACAATTGTCGTTACGGAAATGTGAATGCCTTAAGAAAACTCATAATAAGGAAACACGAGTGGCAAACACCCTTCTCATCTAAATCACATTTCACGCCTAATGATATAAGATTTCTTATTTTCAAAGGTGTTTGCATTTACCAAGAGGTTGTTTTCTTAAAGGGGTATTACTGGATGAGCGTGGTGTAAAAGTGGTTTTGAAAAATAGCAAATTTCTCTTTATGTAGGTAATTTGTGGTTTATGATTCTACATTGATTCTGAAAATACTGGTGTCTAGTTTTTCAGCGTTTTGGAAATATTCAGATTTATACCCCCCTTGTTTGATTTTGAGGGGGGAACTAGGAAGGCTATGTAAAATTCCTAGAATTTACAACCAATCATTTTGATATTTACACGTAATCATGTACTTATCATGTACTACAAAAATAGTAATTTCATCAAAGTTAGTCAACTGGTTGCTATGGAAATGGAGATCATATGTCAAAAAGTACACAATTTCGTCAAAATGTAAGACAAAACACATATTATTTTAATGAAATTGGAAAGAAACACCATAAAAACATTTTAGAAAACTTATTCAGAGTATGTTTGATAATATTAAATCAAGTGGTGTTTTATCCTATCCACACAGTGAAATCTATTGCTCATGATTATATGGCAATGCAAATTAATTTAGAAAGGGGACGTGGCACTTTTCCAAAGAATTCTTAAATTGTGTCCAATTTTTTGAAGAAAATAAATAACCAATTGTCCTGTTATTTACATATATTATTCACATCATTATGTTTGACTATCATGGAAAGTTTCATCAGTGTTGGTTTACTGGTTACTATACTATGCAGATTTATACCCCTTGGTATGATTTTTAATGGGGGTACAATGAAAGCCATCTATAATTCCTAGAATATACAGCCAATCATCTTGATATTTACAGGTAATCGTCTACATATCATGTCTTACAACCATGACAATTTTCATCAATGTGTATCAATTGGTTGCTATGGAAACATAAATCATTTTTTCAAAAGTACACATTAAGGGAGGTACTATGAAAGCCATATATAATTCATAGAATATCTAACCAATCATCTTGTAATTGGCAGGTAGTTATCTACTCACCATGTTCTTCCACTATGACAAAGTTCATAAATGCGGGGCAAATAGTTGCTATGGTAACAGAAATCATTTGTTAAAAAGTACACATTAGGACGTACTATGAAAGCCATTTATAATTCCTTAAATATCAAAACAATCATAATGATATTTACAGACGATCTACTACTTATCATGTCCTACCATGATGACAAGTTTCATCAATGTGGGTCAAATGTGGGTAGAAATCTATTTATTAAAAAATACACATTTCGTAAAATTTTAAGACACACCCTAAGACATTGAAAATCTTCATCAAATTAAGAGGAATTAGCATGAAAACATTTTTAAAAACCTATTTTGAGTATGTCTGATAATATTTAATCAATGGATATTTCATCTGGGCCATTTGATATATTGTATTTGCTTATGATAATAAAACTATGCAGAATGCGGCTGTCACATTATGCGTAGGGACATAGTAAATTATGAGCTGATCTCACTTAGTCATCTTTTATATCATTTGCATCAAAATCCTCATTCATAGATCTGTCAACGTCTACTTCTGTCAAAGCATCTGTTGCAATATTTATGTGAATATATGTCTATGAGATCATCAGGCGGAATGGGTTGGTCTGGCCAATTTGGCTCTATTTTGCCATCAACAAGTTACCACGTCACTTGTAATAAACAAACTAAGAGATAAATACAACTATTACACCCAATTAAAAATAGTGGAAATGCTTCTTAATGAATTCTAAAAACAATGAACAGTTGAAAAAAACCATCAGACATAAAAAAAGTTGAGAACAACAGCATGTATTACTCTGAGTGTAAAACATGTCCGTTGTGTTACCCAGTATATGGCATACATTCATGGTTACGCGGTATTTGTGATACGGGTGAATATGCCATACTCACCTGCGGTATATGGCATATTCCGCAGGTGAGTATGCAATATTCCGTAGTGAATATGCGATACATTGATTTCAGTGAATACCCGATACTCACTTGCGGAATATGTCATACTCACTTGCGGAATATGCCATACACCACAGGTGAATATGACATATACTGCAGGTGAAAACGTGATACAGAAAGCCTTGATTTGATTGGTTGCGAGAATCGACTCTAAATGTAAAACTACGTTGGATTACCAATATAGTTAGTGCGTCGAGTACTAATATATGAATCCTGGATTGATTGAGTAAGTTTATTACGCGAGATTGGTGACTGATACTTCTGCTTAGTTAATATATTCGATACACAGTACTGTTGATTCAGTATTCACTATAATAATTTATAACGTTTTACTTGTTCGTTCAATCGATGCAATTGACAATTGCGCACTTCTGTATCATGTTCTCATTGGTTAGTGTGTATGCCATATACCGCAGGTGAATCTGTCATACACCGCAAGTGAATATGCCATATTCGTTGCGGAATATGACATATATTTGTATCGTGCGGAATGTCAAAGGTTACATGAGTCTTAGATTTTTTCGAAAATGTACTACTCTTTTAACAAATGATTTCTGTTACCATAGCAACCAAATTACCAACATTGAGGCACTTGTTATACTGGTAGGACATGTAAACGGATGATTACCCGTAAATATCAAGATGATAGATTGAATATTCTAGGAATTATACATGGCTTTCATAGTACCCCCTTAATGTGCACTTTTTAACAAATTATTTCTGTTACCAGAGCAACCAATTGACCAACATTGATGGCACTTGTCATACTGGTAGGACATGATAAGCAGATGATTACCTGTAAATATCAAGATGATTGATTAAATATTCTGGGAATTATACATAGTACCCCCTTGATGTGCAATTTTTAAGAAATGATTTCTGTTATCATAGCAACCAATTGACCAACATTGATGGCACTTGTCATACTGGTGAGACATGATAAGCAGATGATTACCCATAAATATCAAGATGATTAATTGAATATTCCAGGAATT